CCAAGCAACAGCCTGGTGGACCAAACTCTCACAAGTCAAGCCTGGCCTCGGGCCGGGCTTGGGGAGTAGAAGAGCCTGGCTTGAAGAGCATTAGAAACTAACTACAATTAGAAACTGCAATTAAACGACTGGTAAATGGAAGGGGTACACAACGGACGAATGGAAGGGAGCGTGGAACGGAAGGGGGTGTGGTTGATGAATGAAAAGGGTGGAGGAAAGGACGGACAGACGGAAGGGGAGGGGGATGTGACAGATGGGAGGGGGTGGGATGGCCAACAGGGGACAGCAGATGAACTGACAGATGAAAGTGGCATCAGACGGGGACAGGATGACAGGACAGATATCCCTATTTGACACGACAGGGAACCTCAACGTCGTTGAAATGAAGAGATAAATTTATAATTGACGATGAAATAAGGAAGTGAGGGAGGAGACTGAGAGAGACTGAGATAGAGAGGTGAGGGAAGGGAGAGACTGAGATATATATGAGAGGGAGAGAAGCTAGACTTAGTTATAAAGTAAAAGAAGCATAACTAAGCCTCGCTTCACTAAGGTCGTTATTGCACGCTAACAAGTTAAGAATTCATCCTCTTTGAAGGACAACTTTAGTGATAAGGTTGCAGACAATGCTAACCCATAGCAAGTCATAAGGTCGACATCAGCGGGTGATAAACCCTCAGAAAGAACCTTACCGACATGCGGCGGTTATACACAAGGCTCAGAAAGGGTTGACCCCGCCGACTCGAGTACATAATATTGACGACGTAATTGGTTGAAATTGATCATAAAATTGATTCTCAGCCGTGATGGGATTGCAGCAGTAACAGTAGCAGCAGCAACAGTAGCAGCACCACCACCTCTACCAGCAGCAACAGTAGCAGCTCCATCAGCAGCAACAGTAGCAGCTCCACCAGCAGCAACAGTAGCAGCTCCACCACCTCTACCAGCAGCAACAGTAGCAGCTCCACCAGCAGCAACAGTAGCAGCTCCACCACCACAACCAGCAGCAACAGTAGCAGCTCCACCAGCAGCAACAGTAGCAGCTCCACCAGCAGCAACAGTAGCAGCTCCATCAGCAGCAACAGTAGCAGCTCCACCAGCAGCAACAGTAGCAGCTCCACCACCTCTACCAGCAGCAACAGTAGCAGCTCCACCAGCAGCAACAGTAGCAGCTCCACCAGCAGCAACAGTAGCAGCTCCACCAGCAGCAACAGTAGCAGCTCCACCAGCAGCAACAGTAGCAGCTCCACCAGCAGCAACAGTAGCAGCTCCACCAGCAGCAACAGTAGCAGCTCCACCAGCAGCAACAGTAGCAGCTCCACCAGCAGCAACAGTAGCAGCTCCACCAGCAGCAACAGTAGCAGCTCCACCAGCAGCAACAGTAGCAGCTCCACCAGCAGCAACAGTAGCGGCTCCACCAGCAGCAACAGTAGCGGCACCACCAGCAGCAACAGTAGCAGCTCCACCAGCAGCAACAGTAGCAGCTCCATCAGCAGCAACAGTAGCAGCTCCACCAGCAGCAACAGTAGCAGCTCCACCACCTCTACCAGCAGCAACAGTAGCAGCTCCACCAGCAGCAACAGTAGCAGCTCCACCAGCAGCAACAGTAGCAGCTCCACCACCTCCACCAGTAGCAGCTCCACCACCTCCACCAGCAGCAACAGTAGCAGCTCCACTACCTCCACCAGCAGCAACAGTAGCAGCTCCACCAGCAGCAACAGTAGCAGCTCCACCAGCAGCAACAGTAGCAGCTCCACCAGCAGCAACAGTAGCAGCTCCACCAGCAGCAACAGTAGCAGCTCTACCAGCAGCAACAGTAGCAGCTCCACCAGCAGCAACAGTAGCAGCTCCACCAGCAGCAACAGTAGCAGCTCCACCAGCAGCAACAGTAGCAGCTCTACCAGCAACAACAGTAGCAGCTCTACCAGCAACAACAGTAGCAGCTCTACCAGCAACAACAGTAGCAGCTCTACCAATAGCAACAGTAGCAGCTCCACCAGCAGCAACAGTAGCAGCTCCACCAGCAGCAACAGTAGCAGCTCCACCAGCAGCAACAGTAGCAGCTCTATCAGCAACAACAGTAGCAGCTCTACCAGCAACAACAGTAGCAGCTCTACCAGCAACAACAGTAGCAGCTCTACCAATAGCAACAGTAGCAGCTCCACCAGCAGCAACAGTAGCAGCTCCACCAGCAGCAACAGTAGCAGCTCCACCAGCAGCAACAGTAGCAGCTCCACCAGCAGCAACAGTAGCAGCTCCACCAGCAGCAACAGTAGCAGCTCTACCAGCAACAACAGTAGCAGCTCTACCAGCAACAACAGTAGCAGCTCTACCAATAGCAACAGTAGCAGCAGCAACACCATTAGCAACAGGTGCTAAGTGTACCATCATGGCGTATGGGACACCATAGCAACAGCTCTCATGGTCCGTGGGATACCATGACAACATTCCCGGTCTGTTATGCTTGGCAATGCTGCCATAACACACACACGTGTGTGTGTGTTTGTCGTATGCAAACACACACGTGAGAGTTGGGAGGTATACACATACACGTGAGAGTTGGATGTATATATTATACCCCCCCCCCTCTCCCTACACACACACACACACACACACACACACACACACACACACACACACACACACACACACACACACACACACACGTTGTATGACCAGTCTTGTAATAAACAATCTTAGCATGGAACCTTAGTCATAAAGAGTGTGTAACAATGAAGTTAGAGACTCCACATTGAGCTGCAACACTGGTTCCAGAACTGAGAGGTTTGAGCTGCGAGGCAAGGTTGAAAGAGCTGAACCTTTCATAATCTTGTTCAAAGATGAAAAATATGGGACATGATCCAGGCATAGAAAATCCTCAGAGCCGTCAATGGGACAAATTTGTTTAGTTTAGATGTAAACAATGAAATAGTTAATAGAATCTAGAGACCTAGATGAGTTATAATGATACAGGGAAAACATTTATCCAATTTCGAAGTAGCGAATGAAATCAGTTGAAAAGGGGGAGGGGAGGGAGTTATCAGGGGGAAAGCACCAAGCCATTACGACTATATAGCACTGGGAAGGGGTCAGGATAAGGATTTGGGATGGGACGGGGGGAGAGGAATGGTGCCCAACCGCTTGGACGGTCGGGGATTGAACGCTGACCTGCAAGTAATCGCAGCCCAGAAACTAAATATGCATTTTGCTAATGTAGTATTTTTTCCCCAACGTTTTATTGGTGGTTTTGAGTAGAAAAATGTGAACCAAAATATATTTTTTTTGTCTTGCGTTACGTAGGAGTAACTACGTACTAAAGTAACAATGAGTAACTAAAGGGCGCTACTGTGTGTTGCTGGGTGTTGATAGTTCCCTCATGTTCCCTCATGCTCCCTCATGTTCCCTCATGTTCCCTCATGTTCTTTCATGTCCCCTCATGCTCCCTCATGTTCCCTCATGTTCCCTCATGTTCTTTCATGTCCCCTCATGCTCCCTTATGTTCCCTCATGTTCCCTCATGCTCCCTCATGTTCCCTCATGTTCCTTCATGTTCCCCCATGTCCCCTCATGTTCCCTCATGATCCCTCATGTCCCCTCATGTTCCCTCATGTCCCCTCATGTTCCCTCATGTTCCCTCATGTTCCCTCATGTTCCCTCATGTTCCCTCATGCTCCCTCATGTTCCCTCATGTTCCCTCATGTCCCCTCATGTTCCCTCATGTTCCCTCATGTTCCCATATGTTCCCATATGTTCCCATATGTTCCCTCATGTTCCTTCATGTTCCCTCATGTCCCCTCATGTCCCCTCATGTTCCCTCATGTTCTCCTCATGTTTCCTCATGTTCCCTCATGTCCCCTCATGCTCTCTCATGTCCCTTCATGTTCCCCTCATGTTCCCTCATGTCCCCTCATGTCCCCTCATGTTCCCTCATGTTCCCTCATGCTCCCCTCATGTTCCCTCATGTCCCCTCATGTCCCCTCATGCTCTCTCATGTCCCCTAATGTTTCCCTCATGTTCCCCAATGTCCCCTCATGTCCCCTCATGCTCCCTCATGTTCCCTCATGTTCCCTCATGTTCCCTCATTCTCCCTCATGTTCCCTCATGTTCCCCCATGTCCCCTCATGCTCCCTCATGTTCCCCCATGTTCCCTCATGTCCCCTCATGTTCCCTCATGTTCCCTCATGCTCCTTCATGTTCCCTCATGCTCCCTCATGTTCCTTCATGTTCCCTCATGTTCCCTCATGCTCCCTCATGTTCCCTCATGTCCCCTCATGTTCCCTCATGTCCCCTCATGTCCCCTCATGTCCCCTCATGCTCCCTCATGTCCCCTCATGCTCCCTCATGTTCCCTCATGTTCCCTCATGTCCCCTCATGTTCCCTCATGCTCCCTCATGTTCCCTCATGTTCCCCCATGTTCCCTCATGATCCCTCATGTTCCCTCATGTCCCCTCATGTCCCCTCATGTCCCCTCATGTTCCCGTCATGCTCCCTCATGTTTCCCTCATGTTTCCCTCATGTCCCCTCATGTTCCCTCATGTTCCCTCATGTTCCCTCATGCCCCCTCATGAAAGGTGCAGTGTTTGTCAGTCAACGAAAATCAGTAAATATTAAAGTTCCGAACTTGGGAATTTGGTTACTGTGGTTCCCTCGCGAGAAGACCAATCACGCCAATCAATAAATGGGAGGCGTGTTCTGATAGGCCCACACCCCCGCCGGTGGGCGGAGCCTCGGGTGTGCCAAAAAAAAAGAAAAGAAAAAGGGGAGATTGGAACGTGGATCGATTTCCCGAAATCGGGATGTTGTCATGCCGGTTGGTGTGAGCCGCTGCGGGCCACTCTGGGACACTCTGGGACACTCTGGGCCATTCTGGGACACTCTGGGCCATTCTGGGACACTCTGGGCCATTCTGGGACACTCTGGGCCATTCTGGGACACTCTGGGCCATTCTGGGACACTCTGTGCCATTCTGGGACACTCTGGGCCATTCTGGGACACTCTGGGTCATTCTGGGACACTCTGGGTCATTCTGGGACACTCTGGGCCATTCTGGGACACTCTGGGCCATTCTGGGACACTCTGGGTCATTCTGGGACACTCTGGGTCATTCTGGGACACTCTGGGCCATTCTGGGACACTCTGGGCCATTCTGGGACACTCTGGGCCATTCTGGGACACTCTGGGCCATTCTGGGACACTCTGGGTCATTCTGGGACACTCTGGGTCATTCTGGGACACTCTGGGCCATTCTGGGACACTCTGTGCCATTCTGGGACACTCTGTGCCATTCTGGGACACTCTGTGCCATTCTGGGACACTCTGGGCCATTCTGGGACACTCTGGGCCATTCTGCGACACTCTGGGCCATTCTGCGACACTCTGGGCCATTCTGGGACACTCTGGGCCATTCTGGGACACTCTGGGCCATTCTGCGACACTCTGGGCCATTCTGCGACACTCTGGGCCATTCTGGGACACTCTGGGCCATTCTGCGACACTCTGGGCCATTCTGCGACACTCTGGGCCATTCTGCGACACTCTGGGCCATTCTGGGACACTCTGGGCCATTCTGCGACACTCTGGGCCATTTTGGGACACTCTGGGCCATTTTGGGACACTCTGGGCCATTCTGGGACACTCTGGGCCATTCTGGGACACTCGGCCATTCTGCGACACTCTGGGCCATTTTGGGACACTCTGGGCCATTCTGGGACACTCTGGGCCATTCTGGGACACTCTGGGCCATTCTGGGACACTCTGGGCCATTCTGGGACACTCTGGGCCATTCTGGGACACTGGGCCATTCTGGGACACTCTGGGCCATTCTGCGACGCTCTGGGCCATTCTGGGACACTCTGGGCCATTCTGGGACACTCTGGGCCGCTGGTTCCCTGCTGCTGCTACAGTTGCAGCCTGCTGGCCCACTCCACCAAGCAGGAAAGCCATGGCAACAGAGTTGCAGACGGCTGCACTAACATCAGCATGGCTCCTAAGCGTGAAGATTTGGCTTTACCTAACAACCCAATCACTAACAAGTTCACTAACAAGTTCAGAGAAGTAATCAGAAAAGAACAATGATTTTCTTGTACACACGAACTTTCGCAAAGACATTTGATGAATGTGACCATGGAGTGATTACCCATGAAAACTACATCCAAAACCCTAAACAACCAAATTACGGCATTGGATATTGAACTTGTTCACGCAGGCTGGTCAACAACAACAACAAAATTTCTGGTAACAGATCATTTCATTCAAAATGATCTGCTACCAGAAATTTTAGCCAAATATCCCCAGTTTGCTAACTGTAGGTAGTAACTGAGTGATTGTAACCTATCCACCGCTGCCCACTGGATGGGGGGCGGTATAACCTATCCACCGCTGCCCACTGGATGGGGGGCGGTGTAACCTATCCACCGCTGCCCACTGGATGGGGGGCGGTATAACCTATCCACCGCTGCCCACTGGATGGGGGGCGGTGTAACCTATCCACCGCTGCCCACTGGATGGGGGGGCGGTGTAACCTATCCACCGCTGCCCACTGGATGGGGGGCGGTGTAACCTATCCACCGCTGCCCACTGGATGGGGGGCGGTGTAACCTATCCACCGCTGCCCACTGGATGGGGGCGGTGTAACCTATCCACCGCTGCCCACTGGATGGGGGGCGGTGTAACCTATCCACCGCTGCCCACTGGATGGGGGCGGTGTAACCTATCCACCGCTGCCCACTGGATGGAGGGCGGTGTAACCTATCCACCGCTGCCCACTGGATGGGGGGCGGTGTAACCTATCCACCGCTGCCCACTGGATGGGGGGCGGTGTGCAGGACAAACATATCAATTGTGACACTAGCTCTCCACATATGTCAGTTGCTTAATTTACAAACTGTACTTGTGGCCGATCTCGAACCCATTGTTGATTTGACGACTTATATTGAATTTTGTAACTAGCTCATCAAGATTGTAACTTGCTTAGGTAAATGAATTGTGGGGTTCAGTCCCTGAGCCCATTATGTGCCTCTGTAACCCTTTCCACTACCGCCCACAAGATGGGTATGGGGTGCATAATAAATGAACTAACTGACGCAGGCGCAGTGAACAGTGAACTGAACAATATTCGGTTCATGCACAGCACAATTATAGAACCGCAAGGCACTATGCTCACGCCCCTAATCTTTCACATGCCCATTTCAGACAATAGATAAGACAAAAAAATCCCATCTTAGCGTCTTTTCTTGCAAATTGATACCAAAATCAACATGAAAATTTTTTCTCTGAGAAAATATTAACTACAGATGTCTTCCGGTGAGACATGGATAATATCATGATTTTCAACACTAACAAACTACTTAGATACGGAACAAACTAAGAATACAAACTGGATACAGAATGAAATACGAAACCATGCTTTCTCGTTGAACAGAACCCATGATATCTAACGACATAACCTTACTGAACTTGATATCTAACGACATATCCTTGCTGAACTTGATATCTAACGACATATCCTTGCTGAACTTGATATCTAACGACATATCCTTGCTGAACTTGATATCTAACGACATATCCTTGCTGAACTTGATATCTAACGACATAACCTTACTGAACTTGATATCTAACGACATAACCTTACTGAACTTGATATCTAACGGCATAACCTTACTGAACTTGATATCTAACGACATATCCTTGCTGAACTTGATATCTAACGACATAACCTTACTGAACTTGATATCTAACGGCATAACCTTACTGAACTTGATATCTAACGACATAACCTTACTGAACTTGATATCTAACGACATATCCTTGCTGAACTTGATATCTAACGACATAACCTTACTGAACTTGATATCTAACGACATATCCTTGCTGAACTTGATATCTAACGGCATAACCTTGCTGAACTTAACCAAGCGAACGCCAGGAAAATGAGGAGGATGACAAGAACCTTCAAGTCAAGTGATAACACAACCTAGCTACTTGTGATAACACAACCTAGCTACTTGTGATAACACAACCTAGCTACTTGTG